TGTGGGGGTGCACGGGGGGGGTGTATGAAGGTATTAGGGTGCAGATGGGTCACATGCAGGTATATAGGGTGTGGGGCACATGGCCATGCGTGGCGACATGGGTAAGTACAGCTATACATAGGTATATAGGGCACAGGAGGTGGTGCGCGGCCATATGTAAGGATATAGGGGCACAGGAGGGGGTGCATGGCCATATGTAAGGATACAGGGGCACAGAAGGGGGTGCATGGCCGTGCGTAGGGGTATAGGACGGAGTGCACAGCCATGCGTAGGGATATGGGGTGCAAGGGGTGCCCTGGACTGTGCAGGGAGGCATCTCTTCACCCCACGCCCCTCCCCAAACTTTCAGACCCCCCCCAGAACTGGGATGGTGGGTACCTCAAAGCGTCGCCGAATGGCATCCTCCACCAGCGCCCGCGCAGGCAGCCAGGCGCGGTGGTAGTAGTCAACCCGGTCCATGAACTCGCCCCCGACCAGCTCCATCGCCCTTTTGAACCCCGCCTGGGGACGCAGAGAAGGGTCAGCGGTGGCCCCAAGTTGGGTGGCTCCATGCTGCCCATCCCTGCCACATTCCCCGTCCCCACCTCAGTGTCCTGGTCGGGGTCGTTCCAGCGGGGGTTCAGGTGGCCCACGCGGGCACTGAGGGTGGTGGTGAGGGCGTAGCGGGGCTCGCCGTCCGCTTGCGCGATGCCGTTGTCGATGGCATCGATCTCCTCCACGAAGTTCTCGTACAGCTGGGGACAGAGCGGGTGACACCAGGGGTCAGCCCAGCCCGGAGCCCAGCTGCACACCAGTAGCTGGAACAAACTGGTCCCTTCTTTTATGGGGTCCCCCTCCCAAGGAGAAGCACTGGAGAAACCTGCGTGGCACTGGCGGGGGTAGAGCCCCGCCGCAGACGCTCCCCGCTCCCCCAGTACCTTATCGTAGAGCGCTGTCACAACGGGGCCATCCTCTGGCTGCCCTAGAAGCCCCGCAAGGATTTGGGAGCCGAAGTGGCAGTAGACCAGCCCAGCGCTGCTCAGCTTCGTGGTCCAGGGCTTGTCGGGCCGGAGGCTCCGCATGGACTGCGTGAAGGACCTGCGGGGCCGCGGGGGTCAGCCCTGAGGGACCCCGATATCTGGGGGACCCCGGTGTCCGGCATTGGGGTGGCCTCACCTCTGGTGATGGTCGTAGCGGTGTCGCTCGGGGTCGTACTCACCCCCCACGTCCACCACCACGTCGCACTGGGCCAGGCGCTGGGGGTCCCGGGTGCGCACCACCTCCGCATCCTGCCGGGAGATGCAGTGAGGCTGGGGAGCCCTGGGTGGGCCCTGGGAACAACTGGGGACCCCCAAGAGCTGCCCCTGGTGAGACCAAGGATGCCGAGGAGGAACTGAGAACTTAAGGGTGACCCCCACGTGGGACTGGGGATGCAAAGGGTGGTCCCTATGTGTGACTAGGGACCCCAAGGGGCGACTGGGACCTAAGGGTGACTCCTGGGTGAGACCAGGCACCCCGAGTTGGGACCGAGGACCTGAAGGGAGGCCCCCAGCTATGACTTAGGGACCCTAAGGGGCGACTGGGGACCTAAGGGTGGTGCCTAGGTGGGACTAGGAACCCCAAATAGGTACTGGGGACCCAAGGGTGGCCCCTGGGTGGGACCAGGGACTCCCAAGTGGGAATGGAGACCCGAAGGGTGGCCCTCAGGTGTGACCAGGGACCCCGAGAGCTGTCCCCAGGTAACCGGGAACTCCGAAGGGGGACGGGACATCTATGGGTGGCCCCGAGGAGGGAGGGGGGACTCGAGGGCAGGCAGTGATCGCGGCATTGCACAGTGTCCCTGTCCCGTTGCAG